TACAACAAAAATTAACCCTTCTCGCCCTCGAATCAATCTCTATAGTGACACTGGGCCTTGTCTAAACTTTTGTGGGAGGGGCTGGGTTCAAATTCTTGGAATCAGAAAATTTGGTTGGCAGCTGACGTGGATTTCAGAGTCACTCAATGCGGGTCTCTGAAATCCCCAATGTCATCTGCTTATATTCACTTCGGCGTTGGGCCGAAGGGTTCTGTGGATTGGGTGATACCCCAATTTTCATTAATTCCAATAAAAGTTTTCTTTGTTCCCTATTTCTGCTTTCTTAATCAACTTTTCAAATTTGGAAAATTATCCACATTCCTTGGAAGTAGTCACAGGGATTGTTCTTCCTTTGACTTCAAACTGCTTCACTTCACATCTCGCACCACTACTCCGCAAAGACGTGGCTAAATTCTGCCCTTCCTCTTTTCTTCTCGGCATTTTAACTATGCTCACTTCTCAGAGCTAGCATAACTGTCTTTGGGACAAATCTAATTTTTAAAGTGCGTAGGAGAAAGGGCGTGGTTTATTCTCCTCATTAATTTCAATTCTCTAACTCTTTTCCTGGACCCACTTGTCCAACAAAATCATAAATCAGATCACGTTCTCATTTTAACCTTCCGAGCGATAGATAAAAATGATTTCCCAATTTTTTTCGTCAATGAAAATATATTTATTTACCTAAATTCTCAACAAAGAGACACGGTGTTTTCCATCTTTTGGTTGGTCGCCGTCTTAGCGAAAACAGAAACCAGATCACCTCCCTGTTATGACGAATCGATTTTCATAATCCTAAGTCAGTTTTCATTTCTCAATTCGTTTTCGCTAATGAAAATATAATTCCCGTCTGGTTCTCTTTTCCCTAATGACATGTGTTTTACTAATATCCCAAGAAAGGGATAAAGCCATTTCCCAATTTGCTTTACCCACATGCCAGATTTTCGATAGTAAAAAAAAGTAAACTCTCGGTACATTGTTTCAATTCGTAGGGGTGAGGCAACCCAAATAGCCCATTCTTCACTTACACATTACCAGGGTAATATCTTCTATTCCCTATTTCTATCTCTCTATCTTCCAGTTTATACATCATTTTGGTATTAACTCTTTTTCTGCTTGGAATTGATGTTTAACGACTTCACAGCCTCAGTGTAATAATAATAATGAGTAATTAAGTTGAAATTAATAAATAAATAGAACGTTATGAGGACAGGTAAATAACAAAGAATAAACCCAGATATTCGAAAATCTCTTAAAAAGCAATTTAAGTATTTGCACAGTTTATCTCTCATCGACGAAGAGGTGGAGGTAGTCTGCCTTTCATTGTTTTGCGCGAATTGTAGGGCGTATCCATTATACAGTAATTTCACAAAACTTCAAAAATAAATAAAGCGTACAAATTCCTCAAGTGGCTATTCCTCCAGTTGTCCTACCTTGCCTCTCTTCTCTGTCAAATATCGTGACATGCAAGTAACGTGATATTTTGTCAACAGAGAGCAGAATGAATTCGATTCCAAGAAAAAAACTGAAGCAGGCCCATCCCCAGCCTTTTGAGTCGGGGATGTGGTGAATAGGATACAAAAATTCTAATCTGTACGTGGCTAAGAAGCCACAATGTCTCATCTGCCCGGTCGGGGCCGCCATTTGCAATTTAGGTAAAGCACATGCGTGGTTCTAGTGCTTTTAAAACTCGCTAAATTGCAAGCGTGTTCAAAAACCCGAATAAAAAGTTAGCCGTAAAAACGAGTTGTGAGAAGATCAATGGATTTTCACCTGTGTTGAATCGGGCTCGTTGCGGCTATCAACTGCAGGGACAGGGAGACCAAAAGTAAGAATTTGCACATTAAATTAATTCACTTCTTTTTTTTTTTTTACAGCAGGTCAGAAAGTCAAATAATTCTCAGAAAGGGAGACAGGTTTGATAAGGGTTGTTGAAAAAAATTTCAGCTCAACTAAGAAAGAATTTTTAAAAAATTGTTAGGTCAAATTTTGGGAAGAGTTTGTTGCCGAGAACTTTTCAGCTCCTCTCATATTTTAATTTAAAATAGCTAATATTTTAAATTAAATAATTTTAATATATCTATAAAAGCCATACTGAATTTATGAAATAATGCTTTACGAGTTTACGAAAATAAACAAATTAAATAAGAATTATCAACATTTAACTTTATTAAAATATTATTTATTACTTTAAATTAAATACAATTCTTATTAAGCTATGATTTTGTTCTCTGCCAAGTCCCTTTATCATGGCTCTCCACAACTTCCTGTCTTTTATTCCACGAAGTATTTCTTGACTCTTTAACACCCTCTTTGACTCTCCATCCACAAAAACCCATTAAGTAGTTTATTCGCTGCTTTACTTTGCTTTTTGTCTTCAGTATATCCTGTGAGTATTAAATTCGCCAGGCCTTTTTCTTCATTATGTCTCAGAAATTTAAACTGTCCTTTTTTCTGATTGTATCACGTTCCTTGTAGTTGCTATTTTTCTTAAAACATTCTCTTTTATGCGATATGTCACTAAGAGATATACCACATTGCTCTCCACTACTTCCTTTGTTGCTTTAAATAATTTTTGATCCTCTACGGGCATTCTTTGTCTTTGTTCTTCTATCCATTCAGAAAAAACTCATTAAGTGGGTTATTCGTTGTTTCTCTTGTTTTCAGTATGTCCTCTGAGAGTTAAATTTTCTAGGCCCTCTTTCCTCATCATTACTTGTTATAGTCTTGCAGGTACGATTTTCTGTTATTACGAGGCAATTTTTCGAAAGTCTCTTCTCCGATTTACTTCCGAAAAACCTCTTTTCCAATTTAGGATATCGTAAACTAGGTAGAACAAGGGTGATTTGATTTATTGAGATAATGGAACACAGTAATTCCTTGGAGACCTATATTGCCTGACAAATACTACTTCGTTCAAGGCCACTGAAACAAAATCTACAATCTATACGGCCCCGTTTTCCCCCTCTTAACATTTAGCGTTTAAGCTTACATGATTAACCTTATCTCTTTCGAATTTGATAGTGCTGTCCCGAAAGTAACTGAAGCATTGCAGTATCATTGTAGATCGTAATCTTGTGTTTAAATCTGTTCACGAAAAAGTAAAAAATAAAAAAAGAGTTAATCTGCTATTATACAATGATTGTTTCGAATCAGTTTCTTTAACCTTTCGAGTTTTCAGCAGCTTTCAGGCCTTCTTCAGTATCTTTTGTATTTTTTTTAATCAATTCACCTCAGTCAAGGCAACAATGCCAATAAAACGCAAGGGATTACTGGGAGAAAAAGACAATGAACCGGAAATCCAATCCTAAACAGAAAACAAGGGATAAACCTCTACTCCTGTTCAAAAGACCGGAGAGGCGTGTGAAGCGGACGATAGACGAACCTATCTACTCCTGTATCTGTCTATATTTCTGAGATGAGGTATTATGTACACTATTTATATTATTCGCACTATTGTCCTCATCTTTGTCGCCATATTTATTACAACGTTTTGGCCGTTTTACGCTCCGGCCTTCTTCAGGTAGTTGGAATGTCGAACTGAACCCTTTATTTTGCTCACTGGGGTAGACTGTTTTAGTTCCACGTGCCATGTTTAATGGATGTCAGTTGTCAGTTATCTCCTGTTAATTCCCCCCTCCAAGTTCTCCATTGCCTTAACCTTAGATGTATGCGCGGTGTAATGGATAATAGTTCGGAATTGTCAATCGGAGTGTCGAGTTTCAATTCTTATTGAGTTCTTTATATTCACTTATGCGTAAATACCCTTGGATATAGTATAAATCCACCTCTTCTCTCCTCCCACCAGCTATGTTTTAACTAGTGAGACTTGTATCACTAAAACTATTATTATCTCAAAAAAGATATTCTTGCAATCTAAAAGTAAAATCCTAGCTTTAAATATCCTACAAAGGATTAATAATCCGTTGAAAACGAATTAATGAATCTATTAAGGAAAAAAATAAATACATAAAAAATATATAGTAAATAAAGTTTCAGTGTCTTGGTCGAGAGGTAAGAAGTATAGAGTTGAAGTAGACTTTAGAAGGAAGCAGAAAGCCAATCTTAAACCGGAAACAAACGATAACCCTCTACTCCTGTCCAAAAGACCGGGGAAGTGTGTGAACAAGACGATGGTTGAACCCAAACGAGACACTTTATCAGATCGGCGAATGCCTGCTTGTTTTATTCCTATACTTATCACGTTTGACACGTCGGGGAATCTATTTTTTTTTTTTTTTTACGTGCTTCATCCCTTCACAACGTTGGCGGTCATGGCTCTCCGCAATTTCCTATCCTCTGTAGCACTTAGTAAATTTCATCTTTTTGTTATCTCTTCTAAACCCTGTTCTGCCATCCATTTACACATGCTCGTTAGGTAGAAGATACGCTCTTTTCCTCTGTTTCTTTTTGCCTTCTACATGACTTGTGAGTATCAAATTCTCCAAGCCGTCTTTCCTTGCCGCTAATTCTCTATTTCACCATATTACCACTTTCTACTTAAATTTTGTATATTACTGTTCTGCCTGACACCGGGTGTTGAATTCACAACTTGATGTGCGTTGCCGCCTTTATACACCGGATACATTTTCTAATACTAAGATTAAACCAATAAGTCGTTCGAAAGCCACTCGAGGTAGATGATTTCTGTTATAATGAGAATAATGACTGAAGTGTCTTTGTATTTCTTGATAATTCCAGAAAATAAACGAAATGCTATGCACGTGTAAATATTTTTTATCCTTTACCATTTGTTTTTTTGTTGTTTTTTTTAATCCTAAAATATGAGCGGACCGTCTACATTAACTGCAAAACTAAGTGACGATAAGAATATAATTCTTATGCTAAATTATACCCAATGCAAGGCTTAAGCTCCACTCGAGTAGTGGGTTACTGCTAAAATAGTAATAATGAATGAGGTGTAAGATATGAATGAAAGAGATGGTAGGAAGTAAAGGTTATAAGTATACGGAAAATGTTGTCGCGATCCGCTCGCATCTGAGCATTGGGATCGGCATCCTCTCTCCCTATTCCCTTTCTCTCTCCCTATTCATTTTCTCTCTCTCTCTCTCTCTCTTTCTATTTTCTTTCTCCCTCTCTATTCCCTTTCTCTCTCACTATTCACTTTCTCTCTCTCTCTCTATTCACTTTCTCTCTCTCCCTATTCACTTTCTCTCTCTCTATTCACTTTCTCTGTCCCTATTCCCTTTCTCTCTCTCTATTCCCTTTCTCTCTCCTTATTCACTTTCTCTCTCTCTCTCTCTCTTTTCTCTTTCTCTCTTTTTTCTATTCTCTTTCTTTTTTCATTTCTCTCTCTCTATTCACTTTCTCTCTCCCTATTCCCTTTCTCTCTATTTACTTTCTCTCTCCCTATTCACTTTCTCTCTCTCTCTATCTCTCTATTCACTTTCTCTCTCTCTATTACCTTTCTCTACCCTGCTTGATCGAGGTGGCGGAGATGGCTGTGAATCAAAGTGTTTAACGAGGCTATTGTTATGAATTTGAGTTTGATGGACAACTCTGCGCGACGGAGAAGCCCATACACTTGGCCAGAAGCGCCACTCTCGCCACTCAAAAGGGCTTGAGACAGGTGAGATCTGGCAAACCAAGTTGCATCGGGCTGTCGGGTGCTTGGTCTGTCAATGCTCGCCTTGCTTACCCCAACCCGATTAGCACTGTCCTCTTTCGTCGGTTTGTCCATTGCGATAATGAAGATATTTGCCGTTGGGGTCTTCGGGGTTTGGTCACGATTAGCCTAGTCCTTCCTCTTCGACCTTGCAGCCATGAGTAACCCCTACTATATCCTCTCCGTTTTCTTTCCCTTGGTGGCGGTGACGCAGATGGGCGTGAACCAGAGAGAGTTTGACGAGGCCATTCGCGTGAAATTGATTTTGGTGGACAACTCTGCGCGACGGAGAAGCCCACACACATTTGGCCAGAAGCGCCTCCCTTGCTTCTAAAAGGGAATCGAGACAGGCGAGATCTGGCAAACCAAGTTGCATCGGGTTGTCGGATGATTGGTCTGTCAATGTCCGTCTTGGTTACGCCAACCTGACTGGCGGTGCCCTCTTCTGCCAGTTTGGCCTTTGAGATCGTGTAGATCTTTGCCTATTCCGCCGCTGGGATCTTTGCGGGTTGGCCGCATTTGTTCAGCCTTTCTCCAACCTTACCGCCATGCGTGACCCTACAGAAGTTGGAACTCCAGGCGACTTTGCTCTTGGGATCACTGAGACAAGTAAGACTTCTACCATGACCAGGAACGTGGTCTCTCGGGTTACCTCCTCCTAATTTTCGAAATTGCTCCTAGGAGACGCTCTCAGGACTATAAATACTCTGCTATATTTTTCTCGCTCTCTTCTTAGCTTATCCGCTAATTTGTTAACATGTAACCTCACGCGGAGAACGCGCTTCTCTTTGGGAAATGCATGAATATATATATATATATATATATATACACACACACACACACACACACACACACACACACACACATTCACTGTCTACACATACTTTGGACCAAAACTGTTTTTACATTCATCTGACACACATATCTTTGTCTTTGTCACTTGTAACCGTTTACTGTTAATACATTATCATTTGTTTGTACATATATATTGGTTCTTGTCGTTTCTTCACTTTTTTATGTGGACTCATATCCCGAGTCCACCCTGTTGTTGTGGGTATTTCAGAAGACAGCGGGTTATTCCCAATTCGAAACACCGACGTTACTAACGCCCGCAACAAGTTTGGAAGCGCATACACCGGTCCGCAACCATTCTGTTATCCTATGCTTATTTATTGATTGTAGTAACGTAACATTTTTATAGATGAGGACATTATTTTCAAGTTTGTAGGGAAAACGTTTCGAGTCGTAAGGTTTTTTATTTTGTTGTTCTGCAGTGAATTTTTCCCTTATTATTTATATCACAAATATTTATTTTTAGCAACAACAATAATAAAAAAATGTTCTCATATATTTAATGATAATTTTATACTTTATATTCTTTACTCATTTATTGATTCATTTCTGTTATTGTCATTAAAGATTAAAGTAATAAGTCAAGGTGGTACATTTGATAACGAACTGTTCACTCCGACATCCAGTGTAAAAGATATATGGTTGTTCCTTGTCATGGTAGAGGCCTTACTTCTCCTAGAGATCCCAAGAGTGAAGCCGTCTGGAGTTCCAACTTTTGTAAGGCCATTTATGCTAGTAAAATCGAAGAGCAAGGATCAGACTGAACGTGACCAACCCCGAAGACCCCCATCAGCGGAATAGACAAAGATCTTCTGGCCAAGTGTATTTGTCCACCAAAATAAAATTCATTCAAATGGCCTCGTCAAACTCCCTTTGATTCACACCCATCTCCACCACCACCACCAGGAGAAAGGAAGAGAGGATGATGATCCCGATGTTCAGATGCATGCGGGTGCCGACAACAATGACAATGATAACATATTAGTTATGTTCAAAATTTTCTACATCCATCTTTTTTGATGAATAGAAACAAATCCAATCCAGTCCTTCAAAATGGGTTAAAAGTAAAACATTTATATGTTTTTCGGTCTATCCATGTGTTTTTCATTTTTGAATCTGATGAAGCTTAGAAAGGCGAAACATGTTATCAAATCTAGTTTGAATGAAATATTTTTTTATTTGTTAAATTTCTTCAAAAGTATAAATATGAAGAAAATTGTGGTCTGGAGAGTTTTTGAGTACCTCCTGTTACAAATAAACCATGATGGAAAAGTGACAACTAAACTCACTGAATAATAAGGCACATGCCAATCTAAAGACAAGTGAGATTCCTTTTGAAATCACAGCACCAGTCTGCCAAGAGGATGAAACCCAAGCAATGCTGCATGGTAGATTTGAATCAATATATAGCGCAAGGCAAATGTATGACTGAGTCCAGTGGGGTCTGGAAAGATTGAACTGAACTCAATTAATGGTAATTTTATACTTTTATTCTTTGTTTATTTATTGATTCATTTCTATTATTGTTATTAAAGATTAAAGTAATAAGTCAAAATGGTACATTTGATAACAAACTCTTCATTCCAACATCCAGTGTAAAATATATATGGTTGTTCCTTGTCATACGGAAAATAGATAACGATTAATCTTTGCTTGTTGAAGATTATATTATTCAAGGAAGCACCTAAGTAGGTATCGGTTCCACAAAGTGACCCTTTGAGCGGGAAGGGGTAGTTGTCTAAGTGAAACTTTCTTCTTGTATGTATATAGGAATGAGAATCACTTCGTATCAAATAAATGATTTCGTTCAATTGGAATCTTGAAGAATACAACTGTCAAAAACAAAAAAAAATCTGTCCAAAATCATGAACGTGTCATCCCAGACATTACAAGATTTATAAGTTTCATCGGTTGAATAATTTGCTGAAACAACTCACCTTTCTCTCCCAATTGTGTGATCTGTCTGGAACATATCTAGACGCCTTGAATTACTTGAAAACCAGTTGTACAACCTTGATGTATAACTAGAGACAACCTTATTGAGCAAGAACATTCTCCTGTGGAATTACTATATCGTCATTCAGACTCTATTGAGTGAGCCTGTGTATTGCGCGACCGTTGCATTCACAATTGCCAGGTAAGAGAATTCTTCGCGTTTTGGAAGAACTTTGTGTCCCTCATCTCTTATGATTTGACTTAGCTCCCTGTGACCTTTACACGTTTCCAAAAGCTAAAACCATTGTTGAAACGCCCTGCCATTTGAATCGTACGGCAGTAAACGTATTAAAGTGATTTTCTAAGCATAGGCCGAAAGTATGGGGCACCCAGTGAGGATCAAACTCACTATTCAGTCGTAATTGATTTAACGAGACAAGCTTGGTATCCATTACACCGCCTCGAGATGCCCAAGTAAACGTATTAAATATTTCATGTGTCTATTGCCAAACCGATTCGATCATCTTCATTGTGTCCCGGTATGCATTAACTTGAAAGTAAGTTCTTGCTGAATTTGGATGATCTTGTTGCAGGCCAGTGATATAAACACGTGTGTCTCCTGAAATGCCCACAACAAACATGGCAGACTCGGAATATGAGTCCACCAAAAATAATGTAGAAAAACAACGAGAACCGATATATATATATATATATATACAAATTAATATGTATTCAACAACAAAAGGTTAGAAATGACAAAAACAATAATGTGTGTGTAACAAATGAATGTGGAAACTTTGTGGTCCAATGTATGTGGGGTGAGTGAATGTGCGTACGTATGTGTGTGTCTGTGTATGTAATATTCATGCGTGTCACACAAAGGGATAACCGCAGTCTTCTGCGAGAGATTTACATTGTTTTCGTATAAGCTGAAAAGTAAGAAGAGAGGGTGAGAAAAGATATCGCCGAGTAGTTTTGGAGAGCGTCCTCTAGGAACAGTTTGAAAAATTAGGAGGAAATAACCCGACAAACTGATTCATTGTCAAGATAATATTAAACAGAAATCAAGTTTGATTACGACACCGATTTTAAGGAAGAAACCATATTCCTATGGTGGACCGTGGGTTTATGTGTTGTTAAATTAGGAACACGAGCGTTTATTCCTGCTAGAAGGTCCACTACAAGAATATGGCGGACTCAGAGATTGAATCCACCATAAAGAAGTGTAAAGAAAACAAACAAGACCGATATATAGATACAAACAAGTACATATATTAAACAACAAAACTTACAATGGACATAGACATTAACACTGTCTTTTTGCGTGTGAACGTAAAGAGTTCATATTTTAGTGAATGTTCGTACATACGTGTATGTGTGTATAATGTTCATGGCGTCTCCCACAAATGGGAAGACGCAATCTTCTGCGAGAGCTTACATTGTAGATGTGTTCGCTGAAAATGCAGAAATGAAAAAGAGGACGAGTCAGTAAATCGCCCAGTATTTATAGTGTAGGGAGAGCGTCCCCTAATGAACAATTTGGACAATTAAGGAGGAGTTAACTCCGACATTCCTGCCTGAACAGAAACAACTGGTGAAAGGATATGTATATTTTTCGCTGACAATGTAAAATTTTGGATTTTTTAAAACAATTTTTTGACAAAGAATTTCCGAACTCTGTTAGTCTGTTCTACCTCCACCCACCACATTAACTTGACCTTGCAGCAAAAGATTACTGCCTTTTACGATCGCTGCAAAACGATTTGACGGATGGGGGAGAGAGAAACTTTCTCAAATGAAAACCAGATTCAAGAATTTGTCGAAAAGGTTTTCACATCAAAACCAGCAGAATTTTATTTATAAAAATGTGTCGATGAGCTGCCTGATAAATGTATTCGCAAATAATAGCGAATATATAACTGAATAACATGTGATTGCACTTCATTCTTTCAACAATGAAGTTGTTTAACAAAAATGCTAGTTACAATATTTACCGTATATATACGAGTATAATTCGAGTTTATTTAGTCATTTTATTGCGCAAAAATAGGCTGTCGCACTCAATGACAGTCCTTAGGTTGCTGGCACCCCGGGAAAGCTGAACTTTAGAGCCCTTACAAGTATAATCTATATATAAAATTCTGTGACCCCCGTTAGTCCGTCCGTCCGTTACACTTTCTAAAATAGCTATATATTGTGTTGTAGAGTAGTTTTCACAGTGGAGGCTTGTATTTCAATAAGTCGTCCTAAATTAGGTTCGACGTACAAAACGTTAGGAACTTGAAATAAGAGTTAATGACACAGCAATCTAGTTGTGATGGTTGATACTTCAATGTCCGACAGACTCACTCAACACCACTGAGCCCAACTGGCCACTGCTACTACTACTTATTATCTGTGGGAGGGTCTATTACAATAGAATAAGTATTATGGTATAACATATTGATAGATAGAAACCAAAATTTGGGGGAAATGCAAATAGGTTAAGTGAGTACAAAGTACAATTGATTTTACTAGGGTGCGTAGCTTAGTACAATAAATATTCATTAATTATTTTGGAAAAATTAAAAGTATTATTATTTAACATACAAAATACTCCCACTACTTTAAAAACAACTTAATGATTGAAACAACAAATATTTATTTAATAAAAATGCAATTTTGTTTTTTTTAAGTTTTTATACACAAGAATCCAGTTTTCACTTCTCTCTGCGTTTGCGAGAACTATAAATTAATCACAAGGCCAAATTCTTCAAAAATTTGGAATTTGGCTCCAAAAATATTTACGCATAGCCAGTTGTTTGTTGCATGCTCAAGTGCAAGAAATCTTGAGAATTTATTCTTCGCAGTTAAAAAGGGAAAAAGAAATTTTCTTAAAAAATATTGTCTATTTCTATTAAATTGTGTTAAAGGAATTATTAAACCTCGAAGTGGGGTTTTTGTTAAAGTATTTTTCCAAACAAATCAGCTTATTCAAATTTCATCGATTTGTTTGCAAAATTGAACGAAACGTAGAGTTTATAAATCTCGACAAAAATGTTAGCGATATATTCAACAATATTAAAGGCTGTGAGGAGTTCAAAACGCGTCAGTGGATTGCAAAAAAAATCTAGGAGAAAAACTGAAAATGTACAATAACGACTTCATTATAATATACAAATTAATACAAACTAAAGGAAATCATTCATTATGTTACCTAAAACATTTTTCTATCCTTTATATCTGCAAATCTTTTCATGGCCCTTTCTACGCTTATCTTCTTTAGAAGATAATTTTCTATTGGCAAAATAGCCAAAGAATTTAATCTGTCTTGAGTCATGGAGGACTGCAAGTATGTTTTTATAAGCTTTAGTTTTGGAAGATCCTAAATACATGACATGGCAGCATGATGGCGTCCCGGGCGACTACCCGTGAGCCGGACCTAGTTACACTATACATAGGAAGTTTTTGTGAAGAGATTAAAAATCGTGCCTTTTCGGTGACTGGTTGCTCTATACACGAGTATTTTTTTTCCGGAAGGGTTAAAATACATACCAAAAAATTCAAAAGTCGTACTATACATGAAGCCGTCTTATACACGAGTATATGCGATATGATTCAAACTCATGTTATGAAAAACCGATTAAGACAATTCTATTTAAAAAAAAAAAAACAACGTCCCAATGCATTGTAAATTGTGGCCTTCATGCTATCTTAGTTTTGTAATTCTCCGACCCATATATCCCACTTTTCGATTTTCTCTTCCAAGTATACGAAGTTGATAAAAAAGTATCGGACTGTTGCTATGGTTTACGAAACTAAAGTACGCAGAGTGAAGCCGCTTAGCACAGACTGAACATGAACCATGTTGCGCATGCACACTAAGTTGTAATATTCTCGTTCCCTTCTGTTATTTATAGCAGTGCTTGGAAGGAAAGTGTGTAGAGTGTGGTCGTCTCAACACACTACAGAGGTTCTTGTGTAGCATGATTTGGTCACGCACAACATTCTCCAGGTCCGACAACCATTATAATCGCCAGATCTCGCTCCTTGCGTCTTTACTCTTTCCAACAATCAAATCCCACTTGAAAGGAAAAAGATTTCAAGACGTCGAGGAAATCGAAATTAATACGACTAGGCAGCTGTTCGCTAGCCACAGAAAAAAGAGTTCCAAGAATGCTTCCATCAATAGAAACGACGCTGGATAAAGTGCGTGGCTTCAGAAGAGGACTATTTTGAAGGAGATTTAATGCTGAATCGATATGTGTTGTAGTTTACTTTTTCTAGAAACCAGTCCCGCTACCTTTTGATCAGATCTCGTATATTAGGTATGTGCAGAAGTTTCCAGCAAAAATCGCTTTTCGTTTGTGATTTTATTCTCAGTTTTCACACACAAAAAAAAACACTTGGCACATTTGCATTTCGAGATCTCTCTCTTTCTCTCGCTTTTCGCACACTTTCCCTGTCTCTAATCATCTCCTCTCTCACTCTCATTTCTTCCCTCTCTCTTCCTCTCTCTTTTCTCCTCTTCTTCCTCTCAACTCTTCCCTATTTCTCTTTCTCTATCACACCCGCTCTTTCCCCTGCTTTTTCCTCTCTTTTCTATTTCAGCTTTTCCCTCTTTAAAGTTCTCTTTTTCTTTCGCTTTCTTTCTCCATTCTTTTTATCTCTCTGATTTTTCTCTTTGTCTCTCATTTTTCACATTTCGCACTCTCTCTATCTCCATTCATCTCCTTTCACTCTTTGAGTTCTTCCCATTCTCTTTCTCTCTCACCGCTCTTTTTCTTTCTTCCTTTCTCTCTCTCTCTCTCTTCTCCTCTTCTTACTCTAAGCTCTTCACTATCTCTCTTTCTCTCTCTTTCACCTATTTTTCCCTCTTCTGTCTGCTCTTTCCCCTTTTTTTAAACACTTCTCACCTTAAAGCTCTCCTTTCCCTCGCTTTTCTCGTACGTTCATCAAAGATAAGCAACATCGAACCTGGTCACTACCTAGATCGGTGACCGCTTGGAAATAGCAGGTGCTGTACGCTTAGATATGTTGTTGGTACAAGGGATAACGGCTCGGAATTGTAAATCGGAGCTCCGAGTTTCAATTCCAGTTAGGTTCGTTATATTCACTTACATCACCTTGGGAAAGGTATGATACCCTCTCCCTTTCCCTTTGGGTTAATTAGTAGGACTTATATCAATAAATCATTATATCCACCACCCCCCCGCCCAAAAAACTCCTTCCAGTCTAAAAATATTTTCTGGCTTTGAATAACATACAAAGGGTTGATAAGACGCAAAAAAAAAACAAATCAATGAAATCTTTTGAATCTCTTTTTTGACTTTTATCTCTTTTTTCTCCCTTTTTATCGCTATCTACCTCTGTCTTTCTATTTTTTCTCTTTCTCTCTCCCACTCCCTCCTTTCTCTTCCTGCTCTTTTATCTTTCCCCGTTCATCTCGCTCTTTTTTCACTCCCCTTCGCGTTTTCTCTCTCTGTCTCTTCCTCTCTCTTTTTATTCTCTTTCTCAATGTCTCTTTCTCTTTTTCTGTTTATTCTTTCCTCTTTTGCTCTCTCTGATCTTTTTTCTTTCCTCACTCCACCCTCCTCGCTATCTTTTTCATTTCCCTTTCTCTCCTCTCACTTTTCTTTCGCCACTATTCCTCTCTCTCTCTCTCACCGACTGTCAGCTTCACTCTTTCACTTTCCTCTTAGTTTTCTCTCTGTTTCTTTAATTTTTTCGTCTCTCCCTCTCTCTCTCTCCTATTTTGGCTCTCTCTGTCTTTGTTCTTTCCATCTTTTACTCTCTCTTCTTTATCGCCCTTCTCTCTCCTCTGTCATTCATTTCTATCTTCTTTTTTTTTTCTTCGTTTTTGTTTTAATGTTCACTTCCAGTTTCTTTATCATTGGTATCCCAGATTTGCGACTTTGTATGTCATATTAATCTTCGTAAAGATGTGGAGGGTCATGATCGCCCACGTCCTGAAGAGACACGTCACATAAAAGAAGAAATACCTAATCTTCCGTGCACCATGTTCACACACACACACACACACACTCTCTCTCTCCCCGTTTTTTTCTTCTCTCTTTTTCACTTCACGTTCTTTTTCCTTTCTTTTTCCTTTCTACTCTCGTTTTCTCTCTGCTATCCTATTCACAAGCTGAGCTCTTCTTTTTCGCCCCTTTTCTTTACGTTCGAGTCATAACTACCGCCTGATCTCTCTCTACTTCTCTCTTAGCTAATTTCAATATGGCCCTGTTTTAAGACAAGCTACTTGCTGCTTTCTACAGTTATCTAGGTCGTTTTTTGTTGTTTTTTTCCGGTTTTTATTCTTTGCTTGACTGTTTATTGTAAGTTGTTTCCTTGCTTCTCGCCACCCCCGTACGCACAGGTCTCTGACAAGAGAACAGGTCCTTCGAGAATCTGTTTCGGAATTTAGGTCAAGGGAGGAAAAAGGCGGGAAGTATGTAAACGAATGTCGCGCAGGAACTACATTAAATTTAAAAGACAAAATCCCCGCAGAATATTAACGATAAAGTGAGTACTAAATAGTATAACTTATTTTTAATGCAAAAAATATGGACGTGTTGTTCTACTTTCCAGGGTAGCAGTAGTGTTAATAATAATGGTGGTCGATTAAATTTCCTCAGCTATTAACTGCTGGCGCCGAGGCGTCTCGTCGTCGGGCAAATGGTTAACAAGCTAGTCTGGTTTAACATGACGATTCACCAGGGATTTCAATCCTCACTAGGTGTCACGTATTTGTGGCCTTGTGTTAGACTAAGATTCGTAAATCGCAAATGTTAGTGCATTAAAATGTCGGAAAAAATTAAAAAAGAAAATCTATCATTTTGAACATTGGCGATTCTTCAGGTGTGCAATAACATGTCCCCAATCCAGATTTTGTCTTGCTTTCAGATTGCCCCTTCCTTCATCGATACTTTTATGCGCGCTAATGCAACAATGTAGTGTAAATATATATATATATATATATATATATATATATATATATATATATATATGTGTGTGTGTGTGTGTGTTGTTTTTAAAATAGGATATAGAATCGTGACAAAGTTTTGAAGTAATTTGACAAATGAAAACGTTTCATTGAAAATAGATTTGATTACGCGTTTCGCCATTCTAGGCTTCATCAGATCCAAAAACGAAAGAAAGAAATGTGGAATTAAGAAAAATTCATTAATTTTGACAAGGTGGGAAAAATCGGTAACTACGAAATAAAACGTTTTCCATTTGTCAAATTTCTTATATAATCTTAGATTTCTGAAAAAAAAAAAGTGACCCAACCGTAGTTAACTGTTCTAAATTTTGTCCTGTTTCAACTAGTTGAGTTCCATACACGCTTGGGCAATAATGTGTCTTTCAATACATGACTGACTAGACTATGTTGCTATTTATTTCTACATTAGACTGGTTGCCAACCAAGACTTAAAGAGCACAGTCTATTCTACTATTCAACCCATAGCTAGGGGAGAAGAAATGCATTCATACCTTTCTCAAGGCTATCTGTCCGTAAGTGAATATAATGAACTGGACTGGAATTCGAACTCGGCGATATCCATTACGCCACAACGCATAAAGAAAGTGTTATATCTCGTGCAAGATATAATAAACAAAGTAAACCCGAGTGTGGTTTTCAATAATAATTTTGTAATCGGATGTAGGTATGTCAAAATACAGAGACAGAGTCGGGAGTAAGCTAACCGCAATGGTGTTAGTAAACGAAGACCTTTTTCTCCCCCTACTCTTGACTGCGGTCGTACTTTATCGGCAACCAGTCCGTCCATTACCGTGAATGGGGAAGTTGGGTTATCTCATCACAACAGAAAGTTTTATTAAGGAATTTGGAAGTCCCCATGATAAACGGTATGAAATGTGATTATATATATATATATATATATATATATTCAATGCTTAAGGTTGCTTTTGTTTATTCTTTGTTCTTTTTGTAGCAACAGCCGCCGCCGCCGCCGCTGCACAAGTCAGCATTATTTGTTACATCCCTTTGGTCTAGTTACAAACTTTTAACCAGCAATTTTGGTATGATTTTGAATATTTACTACAAATGTGAGCGGTGGAAAAATTTCCCATGTGAAAGTGGGCAATGGCGCAAAAAAAATGATTGGGAATCCTACATTAGATTCTAATGTAACATCATTCTCCCTGAACATTATTTTTAACATCCTGAATTTTGTGAGCGTTTCGTGTTGACTTGATTAGAAAACAAGAAACATTCATACATTTCAGGGATCATGATAAAAAAAAATTACTGTAGCACTTATTTTTCATCGTCGTCTTTGAAGCATTTCATTTTCGGCATGAATAAGAACAGTCTCATAAAAGAGGAACGCTAACGACCTGTACAGTTCGTACATACTGGAAAAGTCTCCACACAAACTGAAATTTGGGGTTGCATCTTGAATTTATGAGAGTCTGTTGAATAGGTTTATTGAAATTATCACGAGTCTTTCAGAGTAACCCTACTTTGAACGGTCCCCTTGGCATTGTTACAACGATCCCCGTTACTGGCTGGTAAGGAACCAATCAGAAGCCCCCTTATTGAAGCCGCTTCGTCTCGATCTGCGCGCTATCTTTGAATTTTCCTCTTTCCCACTTTGGCTTTCAATGAGTAGCACGTACAATACGACTGCTTCCGAAAACAAAACAAAAAACTTCACCAATAGATCTGTGGAATCAGGGATTGTATTGTCTACTCCACGTGAAGATATCTTCTCAGTCCTCAGGAAGTCCGGACACCGAGACATTTCCGCACCACCGCAATAACAAGAAATCACAAAACCTCAAATAATTATTAACACGGCGTTTCTTTTCTGTGACAATTTTTTGCAACACCATTATTGTAAATTTTCTTTCTTTCTCCTTTTCTTCTTTTCCTTCCTTTTCTTCATTTCTCCTTTTCTTCCTTTCTTCCTTTTCTTCTTTTCCTTCCTTTTCTTCATTTCTTCCGTTCTCCTTTTCTTCCTTTTCTTCTTTTCTTCCTTTTCTTCTTCTCCTTCCTTTCCTTCATTTCTTCCTTTCCTTCCTTTTCTTCTTTTTCCTTTTTCTTCTTTTCCTTCTTTTTTTTTCCTTTCTTCCTTTTCTTCCTTTCTTCTCTTATATTAAAGTTTTGAATCTCAAAGGTTTGCTTTCGTTTTTTTTTCTCTCGCCGTGACACGTCACTGAATTATCCTTTTTCTCTCCAGCGATAATTACTTATCTTTTTGAACAAACTTAAACGAGTGAAATACCAACAGTTTTCGACTCAATACACTTCACAATATCTGGTCAAATGTTCAAACATCAAATTTTATTTTACTTATGGAGGGGTGGGGACATCGCGATCGAGCGGAAAAATTTTCTGCGCCGTTTCGTAAATTGCAGATGATCGGTTGTCCACGCTTTTAAAGCGTACGAGGAAACATGATTTGTATTTTTTGTCTCCCTCTAAAATTAAAACAGTTTTTACAAATGGATTCCTGGCGAAAGTGATCGCGCCAGGGATGAAGAAATAGAAACATTTTAACAATAATAAAAAGCCTTTATTTATTATTTCGACGCGGCAAAACAGGATGAAAAGACAAAAATGCACATTGAAAGTTGCATTGTTTATTGAAAGTTGTTTTCCACTAGAAGGGTTCCTGTGTTGATTACAACCTTTTTATGCAAAGAGCAAGCTAAGTGTTAAAGCTTGTGACTGATTGGCTGTTTGGTCTCTTCTCAAAGGCAATTTGAGAGGTAAATCCTTGTAACAGCGATGTGGGTGTACGATCTGATGTTACTGTCTAACGAAGTCGTTTGCTTGTTGAATGGTTTTGCCCTGAAAGTTCTCTGAAATCAATCAGATGAGCATGTACTTTTGATTATTTTGTTTCATGTCTTTTCATTGGTTTATAAATATTAGTGTTAAGGAAAATAGAAACAACAATGAAACTTATACTTATAAAACAGATGACATTTCTGGAACACATGATAAGGAAAGATTTGAATATTTGAAGGTAATAGAAACAGTGGAAAAGAAGGGCTAACATAATTAAATAATTGTTATGGAGTAGTTTCACAGTGGAGGCTTGTATTTGTACTAAGTCGGTCCTAAAATAGGTTCGACGTACAAAACGTTAGGAACTTGATATAATAGGTAATGGCGCAGAGTAAATCTCGTTGTGGTCGCTGATATTTTAGTATCCGACTAACGGTCGTCCGGCATCGACTGACTGACCAACGATAGTTAGTCACCCCCCCCACCACCACCACCACGAGGACATCATGTAGCACAAGGCCGGTTTAACGTGGGATCTCCGAGCCCGTGATCTCGGCCAAAAATATGCCCATTGAACCCGTATAAACGGGTTCAGGGTCGGTTTACCTCCCCAAAAGAGAATCCGCCTTTCGGTGTAGCCTCTTTTGGGTTCCTCACCCCCCCGAAGGCAGAGCGTTCAACCGATCAGCCAGTCGACTGGCTGACCAACTCACTGAGCGACTCTTACTACTCCTACTTATTATAGGTGGGAGAGTCTATTAACTATAGAATAGGTGTGTTCCACTATAACAATAATATCCGTGTCTGGATGGCAAAATATGGAAAATAGACGGTAAAGAATCTAAAGTTACTTGGAACAAAAAGGGAAGTTATGTCGATCTCGCATCCTGAAGGGATATAGCACACACAGACACTTACACACAAAAAGACTAAGAACTAACAAATACATTACTAGCGAATTTTCTATAGGTAGGATTATTAAATTAGTTCTTTCAAGAAACGCATTGCATACAATGAAAAAGACAGGTATGTTCAGAATTCAGTCAAACTACCCTGACACAGTAGGTCAATATAGTATGCTTTATTTTTGGTTATTTTTTAAATACCTACCTCCAATAAAACGCGGTATCTAAGGTTTAAAATGAATTTTAAAAAATGAAATATCTTTCTTGCAGATTTTATTTTGGTCTTAATTTCAAGCTAATAGATTAAATTGAATATTTCCAATAAGCAAAATACTTTGCTACATTTCAAAACTAATTTAAATTGACGGGAAGGAGGATTTTTTTATAGCTAAAAATCGCTGATTTTATCGCCATTTATACTCATTTGTTAGCACAGTGTAGTTCTACTTTCAAAGATAAAATATATTTTTTTGAAATTTTATTTGAAAAATATTTGCTGATTTGCAGTTTAATTAATCTTATTTGTAACAAATATTAAAATTTAATTTAAAGTAACGCGGAAATGAGGAAGGTGTTTATATAAGGTGTTGACAGCTTAACTGACACACAGAAGTTTATCTAATTTTTTTTAAGAAGGACATATCTGTAAAATTACTTGAGGAATATAACATGAACGGCTTTTTTATATAATTTTTAACTACCCAATAATCTTGAAAAATTAGGTAAATATTCTTCGTAATCTGATGTTTTATTGAATTTTATGTACTTTGGCTTTAAATTTACTTTAGCTATCACTCTCATTTTTGACGATATCGTGGATGGACGTATTTACGAAAAAATCGGCATGTTTATACACACAAAAAATTCGAAATTCTTTTTAAAATATTAGGTGTCATTAAATTGTAGTAAGCTTTTCAATTTTTTTTTAGTAGATATACTTTTTACGTAATAACAATATCAATTAACCGGTACAAACTAACACAAAAATTTAAAAGATTTAAAATTATATAATTTATTCTAATTAATTTTTTTTTTAAATGAAAACAATTCTTGTAAAAAAATTTATTCATCAAAAAAATTTTTCTTGAGAGAATTGTGTTCATAATATTATTTATAAAAGCAGTTAAAAGCTTTTTTTAATTAAATAATGCCTTAGTTTTATCGCATTTTTAATTTACGATTCAGAGCAGATTTTTTTATATCTAAAGGTTGTTTTACAAAAGTAAAATTGATGATTTAAATTCTCCAAGGAGTTCTGCATAGAAATAATATAAAGATTAAGCGATACAAAAATTAATTTATCGAAATTTCATAAAACTAAAATAAGTTTCTGTTAACGGATATAAAAATGTTTTTACCAAGATTTTCTAAAAGAGAAACATTTCTAAAATAATTTATTTGTGAATAGGTCCTGAAAGTTTCAGGAAAATCCGACAATTATTTGATTTTTGCAAGAATTTCCAAATCAATGTGGTTTTCACCGCAAAAAAAGACGCTAAAATTTCCTATGCTAATCTTTGGTCTACCACTGACGGAAGAAAAACAAAATTTTAACCAAAATTTCAACTTTATAAAAAGGATCAAAAAATATGATTTAATAATCAAAAAATACTTTGGTCTTTCCTCTTAATAATAACATAAAGATTTTGACGATAAAACTTGGACATGCTCATTTTTTAGCGAATTTTTAGTTTTAACCAAAATAAAAATTTAGTGTCGCCTAACGTATCTGGTATCGAAAGGGATGACCAAACACTACTTAGGTGTTTAAAAGTTTACGACTAAAGATTTTCAGAGATAAAAAAAAAAAAAAAAAAACTATTGTAAAAAGATATTTTTCTCTTTCATATTCATTCTTTTCTTTACAGTCTCCGTTCCGTTTGAACCAATTTATGTACACGTACAAACTGTTGCTTCTAAATAGGACACATGAAATACCAACACAGCGTCTGAAACAGAAGTCCACCCACTCGTGCATTTAATTCAAGGTCATTATCAAGTGTAAACTTGGCTTGTTGACAGATATTTTTTTATTTATTTATTTTTAAGTCATCCAGATCTCAGGTGATAATGAATGTGGTTTAACAGAAATTATCACATAAAACTTTTAATAGTAATAATAAAAAGAGTGTTTCATGTAACAATTTCATTTCTTTCTGTAATAAGGCCACAATGAAGAACCCAGCTAAAACGCTTTATAGTCGAAGGTACCCACTCAGATTTAAGAATTACGGCAGGACTCCACACACAATTAAAAATTACAGCAGCCCCCCCTCTCTGATTTAAGAATTATGACAGGCTCCCACTCAGAATTAAGAATTGCGGCAAGCCTCCACTCAGATTTAAGAATTACGGCAAGCCCCCACTCAGATTAAGAATTATGACAGGCCGCCACTCAAATTTAAGAGTTGCGGCAAGCCCACTCATATTTAAAAATTACGGCAGGTCCCCACTTAAATTTAAACATTACAACAGCCCCCCTCACAAATTTATAAACGTTGGCAGGCGCCAACACAGATTTGATAATAGTTACAAGCCTCCGCTCCCATTTAAGATTGTTGGCAGGTTCACACTCAAATTTAAGAATGGTGGCAGACCTCCACTCATATTTTAAGGTCACCCATTGATAATCCAACCCACTAGACGAAACCAAACAGACAAGCTTACGAGCCACTACCCCACGCCAAAACGTCCGATTTTATTTACTGAATGCAAGTTATTAATAATTCGTGTGTCCTGCCATTCGATATGTTCTGGGTGTAAGTCTGTATACACATATGTGCATATATTCGTGGGTATATGAGTCGGTCTGGATTATAAAGAGAGAGGAAATCATTTCTTTTACTTGGCAACGTATTTTCTAACATAAATCTCCTTCCGTGTCAATGCATTTTTAACACTCCTTCATAGATCACCCTTTATGTAGAGAAAATTTCAGTTCTAAATTCAGCACTTAACTGTTTCAGGCTGTAGAATTACTGATCTACCCTTGTACATGCACATATACACACGTATATGTGTTTGTCTCCGTCTAGATACATCTATCTATCTCTCTCATATATATATATATATATATATATATATATATATATAGGATGAGATGGGTAAATTGTTGCTGTTTCATATTTTTAATTTCGCGCATGCGCATTGTTTTTTATTTGGTCGTCTGCATAGTATAATAGGGTCAATTTTTTCTCTGTCTGTGAGAAAAAGAGCACCATGACGAAATTCACTCCGCCAGAAATGTGGAAACGGCATACTGTACTGCTTGGCATTTGCACCGTAGTCTCAAATACGAACATTTTAGAGTGTTTGATTGTCAATCTGTGGACAGTGTAGAGGATTCGGAAAGAGTTGGATGAGTCTAATGATGATTACGAAGGTATGGCAGCTCGAAAAACCCACTCTGATCGTTCTGATAAAAAAGAGGTTTACATGAGCGATGTATATGCAGAAATTGA